CGGTCACCCATTCTCTAACACCTTAATACAAGTGAGAGGTGTGCGTGTAGCACCTACTGACTACCCCCACCAACCACTACGTCTTCGTGCGGTCAGTATCTCGTGGCCCTCCTCCCTGTTCTTATCAAGGCTCCCGGTCACCATCAACAAGTATCTCGCTCATATAAGAACATTTCTCGACTCCTTAATTCGGTTTCTTTCGACCCTCTCAGACCTGTAAAAAGTTTCTAGCGCAGTCTACGGGATGTGTGTCTTTTTCATGCTGTACCGCCCGTCACGGCACTCTGTTTCCTTAATTCATGAACTTTGGTAACAGTTGCATGATTGGGGAGGGGGGGGGGGGGGTGTGACAGACTCCCAAGCGAGGCAGAGCCGGCAGCCGCCCCACAGACGGGATTCCGGGTTCTGCAGCCCGGCCCCACCCAGAGCCACCCCGGCAGGACCTGGAGAGGAGGCGAGGCCACTCCCACCCGGAGGCCGGGAGAGGGGCAGCGATGCCCGAGGGATGACGCGGAGGTGCCAGGTGCAGGGACGGGCAGCAGCCCCAGAACCCAGGTGCCAGAGGGGAGCAGGGCAGGTCTGTGGGTTCCTATCTGACCAGAAAGCATCTGCTTGCGAGGGCGACAAAACAGCTTCTCACCTCGCTCCTCCAACGTGACTTTACTGAGCACCCGCTGCGCCCACGTCACTGACTCAGTACCTTACAGGATTCTTAAAAACAAAACAAACCAAAAACAAAGATAAAACCCCCACCCTGGAGTAACCTAGAATCCTGGGGGGCACGGAGGGAATTCCGAAGAATACAGAGCAAACATTAAGAGTTTAGCTACTGGTAAATTTTCGTTTCTTTCCAATTTCTGTATTTTCTGAATTTTAAAGGAAAGGTACTATGCTAAACTACTTGCTACGTTAAAAATCCTGGCAGAGGAGAGAAGGCTCACGTACAAATAATTCACATCCCAAGCCAAACATGAGACATGACACTCGAGAAAGATGCAAAAAGGCCTGGGAGTCAGAGGAAGTGAGGCTACTTCCAGCTCATGGGAGGGCTTCATGGAAGAGGTGCCACTTGAGCTGGGCTTTGGAGGATGCATAGGAGTTCAAAGAGCAGTGATGTGAGGAGGAGCCAAGTCGGAGGTCAGAAGGTCAGAGCAGATCAGCTGTGAGGAAAGGAGGCCCGTGGGAGGCCAGGAAAGGACCGGGCAGGAGGAGCTGTGGTGCAGGGAGGTGGCAGCTGGACAAGAGGGAGACTGGGTTGTGGAGGCCCCGGCATGAGTGGGCCGGGGGAGGCTCCGAGTGGGCAAAGATTTCATCGGTGCTGTGTTCAGGGAGGTCAATCTGGGAGCAACTCAGCTGGGGTCCCAGGAGACTGTCCAGCACCAAAGCCAGGAAGGCTTCCTGGAGGCGGAGGCAGAGGGCGAGAGTCTGAACAGAGAGTACAGGACTCCCTCCCTCCCTGATCCTTGCTCCTGCTGTGCCAGGGGCCTCAGGTGCAAGGGGCAGGGTGCCACGAAGGGTGGGAGGCTTCCTGCCGCGCTCCGCCCAGCCCCCAACGGAAGGGCGGAAGGGACGGGAGTGCCCGGCTGCAGGAGAGATGGACAGGACGTGGGGCCGATGCACAGGCAGGATGTGCATCTGGGAGAACTGGGAGGACCAGGACCAGAGGAGGGGAGAGGAAGAGGCGGGCGGGGCAGGGGCTGGGTGGGAACGCAGACCTGGGCCCCCAGAAGCCACGGCAACGCATTCCGGGAACGCCCTCCACCAGGAAAGCCCTGCCCTCCCAGCAGATGCCCAGGACCTCCGGCCTCACGTCCAGGGCCGAGCAGGTCGAGGCCACATTCCTCGGCCCTCAGTGGGCCTCGCCCCCTCCTGGCCCGGGCTCCTTCCAGAACCTGCTGGAAGAGGAAAGATCCTCCCAAAGTGAGTCATCCCAGCCCCTCCCCCACAGAGCATCTTCCTCTCCCAGCGGCCATCCAGCCCGCCCCACCCCCAGTCAGTGCACATGTCCAGCTTAAAGGGGCTCCGCAGGGGAGCCCTGGCTCAGAGAGCCCGCCCCCAGCCACTAAGACCCGGGGTCGGGGCACGGGCACACATGTGAGCTCACACGTGTACACACACAACTGGCACAGTCACACCAGGTGATGGCCCCTGCAAGGGGGGCTGGACACCCCTCTGGGGGCCGCCGGGTCTGGGGGGCTGCCGAATGCGTTCACTCCCACCCGGATATCCACATTCGTTTCCACGGAGAAATGCCGGGGGTCCCTCGCTTCAGGCCTCCGCTGGAAATGCTTGTCTTGCCCCTCCTTTGCCGGGTTAATCCCACGGGGTCCAAGCCTTAGGGGGTGGGGCCACGCTCCTGGGAAGCCGCCCCTACTGCTCCTGGTCCCCCTACCCCGTCCTCCCCTGGGGTCCCACTGCTCAGCCCCAGCCCGCCTGACCGTCCCTGCACACCCAGAGGCTGTGCCCCGCCCGCCCGCCGACCCAGGGCCCTGCCACTTGAGCAGGCACCCCCTTGCCTGTCCCCCCAGAGCCAGGACCATCTCCTTGCGCATCCAACGCCAGCTGTCACCGAGACCGGGCCGGCCTGGCACGGCCATCTCCCGGCCACATCCTGTTTGACTGGGCCGCGTGTGAACACCTCACCCCCTGGAGGGGGACGTATCCGGTGCCAGAGGCCCTGGACCAACCGCAGATCACCCGAGGATTACGAGGAAATGGCCTCCCGGACACGCCCCGCACACTGGCCGGGCTGTCCTCACAGCACACCAGGAAGTGGCTCTGCAGGGTCAGGTTTAGGGACATGGACGTGGGAGCGAGAACAGACCCACACAGGCGGCTGCTCAGAGTGGCCGGCGCCGGGGGAAGTTCCCCCAGCCCCTCAGCCCCGGCCCCACCTGCTCAAACGTTCGCTTGCACAGAACACAGCAGCTCACCCCACACCCCCCTCCATCGCCAGCCCAGGGCCCTCCGGTCCAAGTCCACTGACCACTGGAAAGTCTCCCTCAACAAGGAAAAGCAAGAGGAAGTGCAGGCAGGGAGGGGAGAGAGGCGTGCGCCCACGGTCACAGCGCACGAGCCCCACGGGGCAGAAGCTGCCGCTGTCCGTCAAAGACGACGGACACACCCCGGAACCCCGGCCTCAAACAGGAAGGAACCCCGACACCTGCTCCAGCACAGGCAGACGGTGAGGACGTGACGCTCAGTGACAGCCAGACGCAGAAGGACAAGCACTGTGTGACCCCACTTATACTCGGGACCTAAAGCAGCCAAACGCAGAGACGGGGCGGGGAGGGCGGGGCCAGGGCTGGGGGGTCGGAGTGACTGGGGGCAAAGAGGAAGTCCTGGAGATGGTGGTCGGGACGGCTGCACAGCGATGTGAATGCCACTAATGCCCCTGAGCTGTGCACTTGAACGCGGTTAAAAGGGTTTTATGTTATGTGTCTTATAACCACAATTAAAAACAGTCACTTGGAAAAGGTAAATCAAAACCCGAGAATGTTCTGTCCGTCCAACACACACAACACCTACTGAACATTCACGGGTCCGAGTCCGGCGATCAGAACGGACCCGGCGGCCACGCGGCTCACAGCACCGCCGGCACCCGCACAGCCCAGGGGCCCGGGGTCACACGGGGATCCCCACTGCCTCCCCTGGAAGCTCCCCGAGCGAGCCTGAGTCTGGGTTTGGGTCCTCTGAGGACAGTGCCCAAGCCCCTTGCTTCCCTCCCCCTCCCCTCATCAGAGCACCCCCAAACGTAGCTGTGGGCAGGTATCATGGGGACGCCTGGCCCGGGGCCCTCCCCAGCAGCTCAAAGAGTCTAAGGGTCCAGAGATGAGGTTCTTATGTTCTCCTGGCCTCTGCTCACAACCTCCCTCCTGGGGGAGCCAGTGGAAAACCTCCAATGCAAAACCTCAGGGGGGGCAGGACCCCCAAAACCCCCCAGCCCCCACCCCAGGACCTCGGCCTCTGCCGGGCACTCCCAGGGCCGCCTGCTATTCCTGCCTGGGGCCCCGTGACCACAGAACGTGAAAGCCCGTCCTCGAGGTGCAAACGCCCCTGCCTTTCATTTCCAGGCTCCAAGCTCCAGCCCCGCCGTCCCGGCTCACACAGCAGCGGTTCGAAGGCACGGTCCATGCTGGCCATGAAGGGTCTTCCCAAAGCCCAGCTGAGTGCCACCTGCTGCATCTGGCCCGTCCTCCCCGGACAGCCAGCTCCCTGAGCCCGCGGCCGCTGGCCCCTGTGTGTTCTAGGTTCCCACGGAAGCACAACCCCCACCCCCCCATTCAGCTTCTTTCTCCAAGACTCCGCGGCAAAGCCAGTTCCCGCCCCCAATCATCACCACCCCTGGCCACACGGGGCACTTGGCTGCTCACCTTCCTGGCTCCTGGGTGGGGCCTCGGCCGAGGGAGGCAGGGGCTTGGGCTCCAGCCTGCTCTGCAGCTGAGACAGCGGGGTGGGCTCTGAATTCTCCAGGGACGGGACGGGGGCGGCGGGCACCTCGGCCGACTTGGGCACCTGGATCTCCACCCTCCTGGGGGCAGGGTCGGCCGTGGGGGCGGTGGACACCTCGGAGACCTTGGCGGCGGGGGTCTCCATTCTCCGGTGGGCTGGCTCCTGGGGTTTGACGATGGTGATCTCCGTCCTCCGGGGCGTGGGCTCCGGCGTCTTGTGGCCCAGCGTCTCGGCCCGCTTCAGCCCGAACCGCGAGGGCCCGGGGGTGCCCGCGGTCTCCACCTGCTTGGACGAGATGTCGATGGAGATCTCGGTGCGCCGGGACATGGGCTCAGACTTGGGCCCCGACAGCTCGACCCTTCGCAGAGCGGCCTTGGGGGACCGCTGGCTGAGGGCGTCCACATGGCGGGCGGGCGGCTCCGAGTTCTTCGCCCCCAGGTCCTGGAACTTCTGGGTGGAGCTGGCCACGGTGGCCCGGAGCAGGGGCGTCTGGACCCTCCGGGGTGGCGTGGAGTTGGGCGTGTCGACCTCCTCGACCTCGAAAGATCTTTTCAAGGCTGAAAGACAGAGAGCAGGGCGGGATGAGTGGGGGCTCGGGAACCCCGGAACATCCTGCGTGTGGCTCCACCTCTCAGAAGGGGGAGGGTCAGCCCCCTCTACCAGGAGCCTCAGAGGCACAGCGATCATGGGGGAGAGAGAGAGAAAAGGCTGGAGCCCCGGCCCTGATGCCTGTCCCCCAGCCCTGGTGCTCCCAGCAGGCCCTCTCCGAGCCCTGGGCACACCTCCTTCTTGGCGGACACATGGCACAGAACCCTGGGTGGCAAAGCTCAGCCCCCCCACCGAGGCCCGGCAGGGACGGCCAAGTTCTCGGAGGGGGAGCTGTGCGGATCTGGGTTCATGTTACGGCCTTTCGAAGGCTGAACCCTCTGGGCTACAATGGTCAGAGGGGGGTGGGGGCTCAGGGCGGGCTCTAGGGTGGGCAGAGCGGGGGGCTCCCTCCGAGGCTACAAGGGAGACAGGAGAGGCGCCAGGTGGTGACTGTGCAACACCTTTTACAGCTGTCGGTGTGGGTGCCATCTGCACATGTGCACCATGTGTGTGTGCGTGTGGGTGCGTGTGCGTGTGGTCACTCCCCACAGGTGGCCAAGACTGCATGGCCCTTCCCCACGTCCATCACCCCCACGGCCAGTCCCTGCCCCTCCGCCCAGAGCCTCTCCTGGTGGCACCTGGTGCCCAGACGGGAAGGCGGGAAGGGGTCACCCTGTTCCCCACACCAGCAGCTCTGGGGCTGTAACTGGAGTCGACACCCCAACCCCACCTGGTGGGCCGGCTCCGGGGTGCGGGTGCAGAGCTGGGGGTGCCCACGGCTGCCGCGCAGTCACGTGCCCGTGATGCACCTCAGCGGCCGCTGCCCTCCCTGCCCCGCTCCCCTCAGGGACCCCCTGGCACTGGACCCCCGTCTCGGGGCCCCTGGGGCTCCGCGGAGGAGGGGACGGCTGAGGAGGCGGGTGGGGGAGGAAGGCTGGGAACAGAGGCCCATGCGGATGGGAGAAGTGGGGGCGGGGCCCTCAGAAAGCAAAACAGTCCCCAAGGGAGGGAACGCTGAGCTGTCGGCGCGGCCCGGGCGCTTGTGCAACAACAGCCAAGTCCATATAAAGAAGAGGCTGGAGGGTGAGGAGCCGGCACCCACAGCTCAACCCTCCCTCAGCCCCTCCCTCCGCGCCCCACCGGTGCCAAGCCCCTCCGCCCGCTCCAGTCCCGGGCCCAGGGGACGGGGTGGCCGTGGCCGGCTGAGGTGGCCTAAGCGTGGGCAGTGTCACACAGCCCCTGTCCCCGGCCCTCCGACCAGACGCCGGCCAGCGGTGCGTCCCCCGGCACAGTCTCCCTGAGGGTCTGCCTCGCCCCTGGCCAAGGAGAAACCAGCTGACCCACTTCCACGCAGTCCCGGGGGATGCGCCACAGAGCCAGCCATGTCCCGAGGGTCCCCAGGAGGTCTCTCCACCCAGGGGACCCCCCCTCCCGCACACTGATTCTAATGACGGCCTTTGGCTTTGGGTGTTAGGAGGAGCGGCTTCCTCTCGTCTCGGGTGTCCTGGCCAGAAGATAGGGTGCCCCGAGGGGCCGTCCTGCTCCCCACGCTCCCACCGGGAGGCTGGCCCGGTCCCTGGCCCCGGCCGCCGGGCTCTGGAGAACAGCAGGTCTGACACGCCTGCCGGGGCCACCGAACACACCTGCCCCGCCTCCCTCCCCAGCTGCAGGCGGGGCTGGGCCGCTCTCCACGCAGCCTGCGGGCACAGCGACGTGTGCAGTCATCAAAGAGCACAATCCGGGAGTGGGTGCCGGGGATCCGTGGGCCCCCGCTCGGACAGGGCCTCAGCGCTGGGCGGGGAGCCCCGAGGCCTCGGGACCCCAGACCTCGCCTTATTCCCCAAACTCATTACGTTCCTTTCTCCCTGGGACAGCTCTCCAGCAGCCTGGCAGGTGAGGACACAGGTGGACCCCGCCCCAGCCCCCCACAGCCCTCCCGGCCCCGCCACACGGTCTGGCCCTTCCGGAACCTGCTGTGCTGCCTGCAGACACGGTCCAGCAGTGGCCCCCAGCACGGTATGTCCGAGTCCTAATTCTGGAACCGGGAAGTGACCTTGTTTGGAAGAAGGGGCTCTGCGGGTGTCATTAAGGGCAGACGGGTCTGGAGATGAGACTGTCCTGGTGGGCCTGAGATCCAATGGCCGGTGTCCTCGGGGACAGCAGAGGAGAAGACACACGGGGAGGCCACGGGGGAGGCCACGTGGAGGCGGAGCAGAGACCCCCGTGATGCGTCCACCACCCAGGGGAGCGGAGCCCCGAGAGCCGGAGAGGCCTGGAGCAGGCCCCCTCGCTCGGAGCCTCCAGCAGGAGCCAGCCCTGCCCACACCTTGATTTATTATTTTTTTAAAATACATTTTTATTGATTTCAAAGAGAGGAAGGGAGAGGGAGAGAGAGAAACATCACTGATGAGAGAGAATCATGGATCGGCTGCCTCCTGCACGCCCCACACCGGGGATGGAGCCCGCAACCAATGCACGTGCCCTGACCGGGAATCGAACCCTGACCTCCTGGTTCACAGGTCGACCTCAATCACTGAGCCCGCCGGCCTGGCCACGGGGACTGAGACACTACACCCCTCCGGTCTGAAGCCCCGGTTGGCGGCAGTTCGAGACACCAGCCCTGGAGAGTTACTGCGCCCCCAGAACACGGGAGGGAGGGCCAGTCGCACTCCATCGCTCGCCTTCGTGGATGTGGCGCCACGGCTGCCCTGGACCCGGCGTGGCGTGGCCGGAGGAGCCTGCCCCCTGCCCGCCCGCATCAGCCCCCAGCCCAGTCGACACAGGGCCCCTCCTGCTGTTTGCTCCCTGCTGGCCCCAGAGCCCCCCCCCCACCCCCCTCGCTGGGACAGGGGCCCAGGCACACAGCCCCGCCCACTCCTGCTGTCCCCTGTCATTACTCAGGGCGCCCGGTTCCACTCCCAGGAGTATCCCAACTGGGGCAGTAAGTTACTGCCACCTACCAGCAGCGGGTTAACTCCTGGAGTCGCCCGCCCCCCCCCCCCCCCGGGCCAAAAGAGGGGCCTGGGGGAAGGGGCTGGGGCCCCGGAGCCGCCCCGGAGGGAGACTCCCGCGGGGACGGGGGCGCTGGGGGGGCCTCGTTTCGAAAAGGCTCTCCGTGGCCGGGCACGTCCCTGGGGGGGGCCCTGTCCTGGGAAGCCCCCCCCCAGAGGGGACCCCCTGGGACCGGCCTCCGGGGGCCTTGTCCTTGCCCTGCCCGGGTCTGGGAGCACCGGGGTCGGTTCGGGCGGCCTTTTAAGTCGGCCCAAGAAGCTGGGTTTTCTTTTTTTTTGGCTAAAATAAATGACCGAAGGTGAGGCGGTTTTTGAAAAAAGTGTGGGGCAATTTTTTTGCCGGTTTCCCCAAGCGCCCATGGTGGGAATGCTGGGGCCTAAACCCGAAAATGTGGGGGGGGGAGGGGGGGCCGGGGCGCCAAAATGGAAAAAAAAAAAAGAGAGAGATGTGGGTTAGATAAGAGGAGGGCTTCCTGAGCCGGCCAGGGCGCAGGCGGCGGGAGGCGGCCTGGGTGCAGCCAGGCTGCAGGAGAGCAGGGGGGTTGGGGGAGGGGGGGGGGAAGGTGACCTTTCAGGCCTCTGTGGGTCAAAGGTCGCCTGATAAATGGCAGCCCCTGGGAGGTGACTGACCACCAATTGCAGGCCCAGCTCCCAGGGTCTCAAACGTTAGGGAGCTCCTCCCCCCACCAGAGGGTCCCCACTGACCCCCCAGCCTCCTTTCCGCCTCTTCCCTCCCCACCCACTGCTCCCCCAAACACACCTCTTCCCGGATGGCCAGGCCCTGCGAGAGCTGCTCCCTGAGAGCCCCGCCCCCCGACCAGGGAGAGGGGTCATCCGACCCTGCAGACAAGCCTCCGCACATGGCTGTCGTCCGAGCTGCCTGCGGCCCAGGACCGACCAGGGGAAACCAGGACCGACCAGAGACCCTCAGGGACGGACGGCCAGGCCCTGTGTGGCCGGCAGCTGTTCCCAGCCCCGTGGCCGCGCACAGGGGTAGTGGCCACTCCCAATGGGCCCGGGATGCAGAACCACTGCGCCCCCCGACGCCGCCCCGACCCCCTCCACCCCCGCGGGAATGGCTGAAGCAGTGAAAATGTAAAAGAAACCAACGCCAGGGGCCACAGGCCAGGTGGGAGCCTCCATCCATCATGCGGAGGGACCGCCGGGCTGTGTACTGGCCCGGGGGTGGCCAGCAGGTGGGCGCTGCCAGGCCAGTATGAGCAGCGGCCTAATTACAGGGGACAGTGACCCCGGGGCAGAGTTCAGGCCCCGGCCAGGGCCCGCTCAGGGCAGCACCCAGGAGTCCAGCTGCGCCCAGGCCTCCAGAGGAATGGCGGGGCGGGGGCGGGAGGGGGGAGCGGGGGGCGGGATCCCCACAGCAGGGCCCAAGGCGGCCACGCTGGGCTGACGAGGGCGGAGCCTCGGCGACCCCACGCCCTGCAGAACCCTGGTGACTTCGGGTTCACATCTGCTGACCCTGAGGGTCTGGGCCTGCTCTGTGTCCTGAGGACACGAGGGGTTTGGCAAAGAAGTGGGGGAGCAGAGACTGACGGGACCCTGCGAGCTGTCCCAAGGGGAAGGCCTCCGGGGCAGGTCGCGGGGGGCCCTTCCGCCACCTGCCTGTGGGGCTGAGGTGCACAGACACCTACACCTCCAGGACCAGGTCCCACAGACAACCCCCAACTCTGCTCATGGCCGTGGGGGGAGGCAAAAGTGCAAGCTGTTGACAGGGAGCTCCGAACCTCCTGCCAGAGGCCCTGGGAGGCCCCCCGCCTACCCCCTGCCCAGTGCCCCCACGCAGCCCGTAACCTCTGACCCGCCTGCCAGCCACACAGGCCCTGGCTGCCAACCTCCACCTCCCACCTTGGGAAGCCCTGAGGAGCCAGGCCCTGACCGCCACCAGCTGCAGGGGACACGGGCAGGGAGAGGCCCCAGCCCTCGCCCACCCGGAAGCTGTCCACGGTCCCCACCCCCCACCCACCCAGGTGGCAAGGCCCTCGTGGGAAGTGCTGGCGCAGGAGAGAGCGAGCCGCAGGAAATGAAACTGCAGAACGGAGTCATCCTTTCTTCACTGAAAATGGGGACTTT